CCTCCATTGGGCTCCCTGCCAGCTCCTGCCTCTGGAGATGGGGGTCAGCCAGGAGTTCCTGGGGAAGCCAGGATGCTGAACATGCCAGCGACTCTGGGATACTCAGCAGGATTAGCTCGGTGACAGGGGAGCGGACTTCAGGGTAGTGGGGAAGGCATGTGGATAAGGAGTCTGGGGGAATCAGGTGAGGAAGGCACTGGGTTTGGGGGGGCTCATTGAGAGCTCCTGCCTCTGGAGATGGGGGTCAGCCAGGAGTTCCTGGGGAAGCCAGGATGCTGAACATGCCAGCGACTCTGGGATACTCAGCAGGATTAGCTCGGTGACAGGGGAGCGGACTTCAGGGTAGTGGGGAAGGCATGTGGATAAGGAGTCTGGGGGAATCAGGTGAGGAAGGCACTGGGTTTGGGGGGGCTCATTGAGAGCAGCCAGGGTGGGAGCAGTGGGGGAGGGGCCAGGTGGATTCGGAGATTGCAGGGAGCATGTGGATGAAGAATTGACAGGTGGGGGTGGGGGTGGGGCCAGGCCATGGGGAACTCACCGGGAGCAGCCAGGCTGGGGTCTCTTAACAGTCATCTCGTCCACCCGTGCCTCATAGATGCGGTTCAGGGCGCTGTTCCCCAGCTCACACATCAGCTGGGGGACACAGAAGGTACCAGTCACAATCCATATTCCCCCAGCCCTGTCCCCCACTCCAGCGAGGGTCCCGGCCCAATGACCTGCTTACTCCCCTGCCCTCACCCTGTTCCCCTCTTACCCTCCCATGACCTCACAGTCATGCCTGCCCCCACTAACTCCTCCCATTTAACACCCCACACACACCCTCTCATTACCTTGACGAGCTCTGGCTCCCAGGAGTCCAGCGTCAGGGACCGAACCTTGGAGAAATGTACCCCCAGGCTCCTGTGGCAGAGAGAAATGGGGTGAGTGGAGCGGGGGCCTGCTGCCCCCCCCCCCACACCCTACCCCAGGGCTTCACACCTCCAGAGCCCAGCTGGGGGTTAGGCAATACCTGTGGATGTACAGCCTAGTGCCAAGGGAGGAGGCAGGCAGTACCAATGAATGCCTGAGCAATTGATGCACAGGGAGATACCCAGGCTGGGGGGCAGGCAGTACCTGTGGATGCCTGAGCACTCGATGCACAGTGTGATGCCCAAGTTGATGCTGGCCCACTCAGGTGCGGGCTCCCGGCAGTCGCAGCACTGCGCGTTGCCCTCCAGCCGCTGCACTTGGTCCAGTACCCGCTTGTCCACGGCCGTCCGCGGGCTCCGGCCCGATGCCTCCATTGTGGTGCTTGACATTGAGGCAGGGCGCTCCGGGTGCTGGGGGGACAGATGGGGGTCAAAATGCTGCCTGGACCCCCCACTATTCCCCTGCAGCCTCCCCTTCCTCCAATGTGTCCCTTGCCCCAAGCCCTCTCTTCCCTTAGGGTATGTCTACACTACCCCCCTAGTTCGAACTAGGATGGTAATGTAGGCAACAGGAGTTACAAATGAAGCCCAGGATTTGAATTTCCCGGGCTTCATTTGCATAAAGCCGGGCACCGCCATTTTTAAATGTCCGCTAGTGCGGACTCCGTGCCACGCGGCTTCACGAGGAGTAACGGTAGTTCGGAATAGGAAGCCTAGTCCGAACTACCTAGTCCGTGCCACGTGTAGCCGCGGGCACGGAG